TCCTTTAGAAGTACCTGAGGGGACTTCTCAACCTGTCTAGGAGAGGTAAACCCATGCAAAAATACGGGTGATCGTCTCCAAAGCTCTCTCGACCTCTGCCAAGAAGGGAGAGGTCAGAACTACACCTTGTTCAGAAATTCCTTCAGAAAAGGGAGGCACGGCCCCTTGAGGAAGGGAGGTATGTGCCACCTTCAACGAGCTTGATAGGAGAATGAGAGCCACTTGGGACAAAATGGGAGCAGCAGGAGGCATCTCTAACCTCGGCACCTTGGCTAAGGAGACTGAACCGCTCCCTGAGCTGACCTCAACCTTGCACTTGCCCCCACTCTGGGTTCTCTTTAACATGGCAACCTTTGACTTGAAATCTTTCAAAGAAGGTTCCATTGAGGAAGAACCTGGAAACCCAAAACAAATAAGTCAAAAAATAGGAGGAAGTGTTACTTGCCACCTCTTCTGTGCCAGCCACGGAAGAGGGGACAAGGAGTAACCTCGATTCCTAAAATAGCAAAAATGAAAGGTTCAAAAGTGCAGCAATCACCTTGGATTCGAGAGATCCAGAATGAAGAAATGAGCAAGAGCCAAAGAACGTACCTAATCAAGGACGAGTAACAAACCGAAGCCCAAAGTGCAATCAGAAAGCGGGCCTCGCAAAGCCCTCAAATCAGTTTAAGGGAAATCGATTTTTAGTGAAAACCCTAAGAACACTAACAGACTGGGGAAGCTAAAATCGTAAGGAAATTAGGAGTCAGATACTGGAAAGAGGAATCTAACAAAGAAGTGAGGCAGTTTCGATCGTCTCAAAAGTGTTTAAAGCTTGGCGTAAGTGGGTCTTCGAAACACGGGACGTGCACGAGAAACAAGGAAGAAATGATTGCACAAAATCGTTAGAAATGACTCTTCGTGCGCAAATTAAGGTCACCACATGGAAGTGTAACTTAACTCAGTTACAGCTCAACCCCTGCACAAACCCACTTTGACCAGGGACTGGGGGCAACTGTTGATACCTGAAAAAAATTACATGTTTGAACTTCGGAATTGAGGTTAGGAAAGGAACTGAGCCACACAAGCTCGAGCTCTCTCGACCTACCCCTCGAAGGAATTTAATGGGAGACAGCTTGAAACCACCCAAAGCCCCCTCAACAACAATAAGCACCAGTTGCGAGACCTGATCATGTATTGCATACATATTAACATAATTATGTGGACAAATTAAAATTATGTGAAATTACTTATTAGATAGAATTCTGTGTATGAAATTAGTATTGAGTTGATTTTGAAATTACTTTAGAATTTGGAGGGAGACAAATAGAAATATTAAAGTTCATGAAATATCTATATCCATGTGTCAAGGTTAAGGTGGTGGGTCATTTTGGAAAAGTCAAGTGCATGTGTGTGTGTGCCAAGTGTATGTGTGTGTCTAAAGGTGTAGTAAAGTGTGTGTGTTTAATTCATGAAACAATATGTGTGTGTGTGTAATGTAAAGAGTAAAGATGTGTGTGTGTGTGTTAATATGTGTGTGCTTGGTTCTTTACTAGAACCGTGAGTGGGAGTGAACAAGAGAGGAAGAAAAAAGAAAAAAAAAAAAAGAAGAAAGGAAGAAGAACTTGGGGACTCCATGCCAAACCAAAGTAGGAAGAAAATAAGAAGAAGATAAGGGTGTATATGTGTGTTCATTTTAGTGTTTGTGTGATTAGTTTTAAGTATTTGTGTATATGTGTGGGAATTGTTTTAGTATAATTTCAAAGCATATTTTGGTGATGTTAAATTAAGTGTATTAAACATAATTAGTAGGCTATTTTGTGTTAAAATAATGGGCTGATTTATTTTAAGTTCAAAAAATATTTTATTAAGAGTGTTACACAAAATTAGGGACTGTTAAGAAGGGGTATTAAATAAGTGCTCAACCGAGTGTACAAAAAGTGTAGAAATGAGCATTAGAGATATTCGGAAAACATTTATTAGGCTAGGTTGGAAACGAAAATTTTGGGAATGAAATGGGTGATTTAAGGCTCAATTAGGGGCTGTTTTACATTGATTAAATGTGTATGTGAATTTAAGTGTAGTGGGTTTAAAAGAAAAGTACGACAGAAATTGAAAATGGGTGCCGGTAACGCCAAAATCCTAATTTCTAAATATTATTGTTGCATGTGTGAATTTTAATCCAAATGACCTGAATTTTTGCATGCATTACTTTTAAACGATGCTTGATGTGATAATGTAAATTTGGAATGCAAATGAATATAATATTCGGTGCGGAATGTACGAAATGTCAGAAATACAATTTTTGAGATTCAGGGTCGAAATATGTGGAAATGGGCCCCGGTCAATGTGTTTGACCTACTAAATCTTAATTGTGATTAATGTGAGTGATTTTGAAGATTTGGAGAAAAAAATATGATCCCTAAATCTAATGTGTCAGTATGTGAGTGAACAGTGCGATAATCAGAGCTACCAGGACACTTTGGGTTGAATCATCTTGCATGCATTAGTGCATGATTAATTATTCAATGTGATAAATATATTAATATTGATATGTTAGGTGGAACAGGTAGGACAGTTGGTATAGAAAGGGCTATGAAAACACCGGAAGGATCCACTGATAGAACCGAAGGGATATAAATCGAAATATTTGAGGTGGGTGTATATCTTTATATGTTTTGAAAATGCTATTATAAGATGATGTTAGAAGATAGAATTGAATAGCATTTCTCCAAGATTATGTGTTATGTGCCTATGTGATTGGATAATGCTTTGTATTGTGCATTGTGTATTGTGTATTGTGAAATGTGGCGCACTGTTTCAGACAGGAGCATCGATGCTTGATCACTGGGCGTGTAGTGGTGTGCTAGCACTGTGGTGTTCCCGAGAGGTTCGAAAAACATGGATCCATGTGGGATCGATTACCCAATGAGGGGTAGTGTACATGTGTTGTGACTTGTGAATACTTTAGAATTGGATTGATGTTACTGTTTGATATGTGTATTTACGTAGTATTTACTTACTTCGGTGTATTACTATCATTTTTATTTCATATAAAATATGTACACTCACTGAGCGCATGGTTTAGCTCACACCCCCTATAGCTTCTCCTTTTTAGGTATAAGAGAGGGAGACACAGATCAATCCACTGTCAAAAAGGGTTAAGTTTTGTACAATGTTAGTATGATATTCTGTTCTTTATGTATTTACTTTTAAATGAGTCAATGATACTGGTTGGGGGACTGTATAATTATTAGTTGGATTGTATATTATGTTAATGAGAGATTATTATAACAAGTTAATAGTATATATATTTGTAAACAGACTCAACAGACATATTTTGTGATATATGTTATGTGAGTATGAAATTTTGTATCTGTCTATAACCTCAAAAACAAACAATTGGTACATGTATTATATATGTGAGACAGGTTTACCATCATACTTACTAACTAAGGTGATGAGTGATATTGTTGCACCTGTGAGATTAATTAGTGTTTTATTAATTTAGATTATATGTATGTAAACAAGTGTATCAAAAACCTAGTCGCATCTTATTTTTGGGAGACCGGGCTGGGACGTGACACCAGTCTAGGTGTAAGATCCTCAACTGTCCAAACCTTCTCCTGAAATTAAGTGAGATGTTACGGAGAAAGGGCAAGGACCTCGCCCCAAACCCCATAGAATTATGAATTAGGCTATACATATTGTACAGTGTCCACATCACGAAAAGGGCCATTCAAGTTGTACCAAGAACACTGTGTAACCATATGAAAATCATCAATATAGATCCTAAAAGCAAGAGACTTCATTGAAGAGTAGATTACTCGAGCTAGTAAACTACTATAACTCCTTAGTGTGAATTCTCCCGTATCCCCTAATTATTGCACTATTCTCACAAGCCTAGTAACTCAGATCGAACCTTACTTATACATAAACATTCTGCTCATCCACATTTTACACCACCATCACATGTAGTGAAATTAATTAGCAAGATCAAATTTTTGTTTCAGCGCATTATTTCGATTACCTAAGAAATAAAACGTTTCAACATGTTTTAGAGACATTTCAATCCGTTTCAAAAATAGAATGAAAAAAAATAAAGAATTATTTTTAAAAATATTGATCGAAATATACTAAAATATCTTAAAATACATTAAAACATATTGAAACAATTGTGTAAATACGTTAAAACATTACAAAACGCCTCATAAACATTATGAAACACTTTAAAGTATTAAAATTTTGATTTCATCACTGATTCATTTCGATCTCTTTGAAAATAAAAACGTTTTAGACGTTTCGATCATTTTGAAACAAAATTTTAATCCTTAAAAATTAGTTATTATTAGAGGAAGTATAAATAAGATGAATTTAATAGTTTAAAATTTAAAAATTAAATAAAGTGGAAAAAGATATTTAAATGGTGAGAATAACGTCACTCTTCTCATTTTTTAAAAAATTTGAAATAAATAACAACAAAAATAAAATTAAATTTTAGGGGTACAATTGTAAAATCAAATAGATAATTACTCTTTTGGTGGCATACTTTATAAGGCATGAGACCTGCACCATAATTATGAAAAAATATTCATTGCAATGGTAACACCGTATCACCGTCGTTAGATGATTTTATCATTCAACTAGAAGATAATAAATAAGTAATGTGAATTTCATTAATCTTACGTGTTTTTGATGAAAATAATAATTTTTTTTTTATTTTTAAATTTTTAATTAAATAGTGATGTCAGGTAACAGTAATGATACGATGTCATCTTTGTATTGAATATTTACTCCATAATTACACCCATCTTGCACCACCCGACATTTACAGCTTTGACACACATTTGGAGTGGAGTAATTTGCAATTGTTTTCTCTCTCCTTCCCTCGCACTTAACCAAACGGAAAAGGTATCGAACTTGAACTGTGAAACAGATTGGAGAGAGAGAGAGAGAGAGAGAGGGCGCTTTTCCGTGAGCTGATAGAACTGAGAAGAAAACCCCTGCAGGAAGGAAAAAAGATGGACGATTACACTAGAGAGATGATGGACCTGAAGACCCTGGTCACTCGTACCCTAGAAAAGAAGGGCGTCCTCGCCAAGATCCGGGTATGACTTTCGTTTTCTCTCTCATTGATTCTCTTCGTGGATCGTTTTATACCAGATTGCTGTTATGTGTATGTATTTGTGTTTATATGTGTATATTGGTGGAAGGAGACGTAATCAATTGATGGATCGAGTGGTTATAAGTGTATATGTGTGTATGTGTGATTTTGTAGATGCACTTGAGGAAATGGTTTTTGGGGTTGATTTTTTGTTGAGGAGCATGTAATACTTGTTCAAAAAGTAGAGAACTTGTTGGTAAAAGAGAAAGAATTGTCACTGAGCACCTTTTAGATATTAGGGTTTATACAATTTTTGTTGAAGTATTAGGGTTTTGCTCATAATGCCATCATTGAAGTTATTTTATCGAACGTGGAATTCTTATGATCAGAATTAGCAAAACGTGAATTAAAGCCCTCGGATTTTGTTTGGGGGGTGAGTGGTGGAGTACGATTTCCTCAACTCAATGCAGGCTCTATTTTTTACTTATTTTGACAACAGGAGCTCTATTTTCTATCGTTGCATTGTGATGGTAATTGCCAGGAGTTCGAACCATGGGTGAAATAGTTGTTTATCATTAATTCCTCCTTTTTCTATAGAGAGGAATGAGTGCTGTGCATTACCGTCTAATTGATTTGGTGAGGGTTGGGGAATTAGAGTCCCTAAGAATGTTAAATAGAAACAATGCTAAGATGCATTAATGCCCTTCTGTGTTGTTTGATTTGCGTGGTCTCAAGTCATTCTTGTTATCTACTCAATAAAAAGTAATACCTTGGAATTTTGTTTATTCCTTCTCTTCATATGGTTTACAAACATGGCCGAACTTGTGTTTCTATGCCAAAGTTGGTTGACACATATGATGTTCTACGTAGGCCGAACTTAGAGCAAGTGTATTTGAGGCAATTGAAGAAGAGGATAAGGCAATTGAGACGGAAGAAGGTTTGCCTCCTGCACTTTTGGGTAGCTGCAATGATCGTGCGAAACAACTGCATGCTTCTCCTTCAGGTTCCTCTTCACATCTAATTCTCATTTTCTTCTTTTGAATGGTTACTTTTGTATTGGAAATGGATAATGATTTCTAGCTGTGTTCTTTCAAAGGGTTTTTCAGTTTCATGGGCATAAATTCTGAGAAGTGTCTATGGTTTGATTCATAGCAATATTGTTCAATGAAATTCAGTTTGGATAGATCGAATTGTGGTGGTCTAAGGGGAAGTCCGGAAGTCCCAACTTGAACTTCACTCATTTAGACTTGGTTGGGGAGCAGCAACCTGATAACAATTAGTCTATAAGGGATTGAATTTATAAGAATACATTTGCTGATAATTGTCTTTTTGTTTGATATGGTGGAGGTATCTTGTGACCTGGCCAGCTCAAGCCATTTATTTTTCATTGGTTTGCAGGTCTGGAGTTAGATGTTGCCAATATTGGCATTTAGTCTTGTAGAAGCAACGTATAATTGCTTGATTTTTTTTTGTTTTTTCATTTTCCCTTGGGAAACTTATAATCCCTTTTCTAGGTGTAGGGTGTATTACTTCAATTAAGGGGTTTTTTTTGGTAGTTTAGTACAGGAGGCTATCAAAGACCAATTGTTGATATAGTGTTATCATCTTTGATAATTGTCAGCAAGCATTTAGAACAAAAAATTGAACGACCAAGAAGTTTCATAGAATTGTTTTCAGCTGGTTGTGCATTTGTTTTAACGTAATGGACATTTGTGACTGGATTTAGACTAGTAGACGCAGTAAATGAGTTTGAGATGTTTTCTAATGAGTAGGGGAAGTTTGGGTCATGTGAATTGAGTGAGAATGTTTTTGACTTCAACCCTACTTTTTTTTTCCTAATCTGTTATTGCTGTGGAAGAAAAATTTGTGTCCTGGGATCAGGTTATGGCTCTTTGGATCCAATTCAAGTGCATATAGTCCCAAAAATAGCCATTTCAATCTTAACTCAACCATTTTATTTCCTTGCTTTGAACCTGAGGTCTACCAGCCCTTATATTAGAGCTCATCCTCCTGTAAGCAGTATTATATTTGCTTGTTATCTACTAACCAACAAATAGGAAAAATTGTGTTTTAACAGATTCAAACAGCGGGCAGAAGTCATATCTTGACCCATTTTGAAAGTGCAGAGTTTTGGCAGAATTTTCTTTTTGATCAGTAAAAAGTTTTAGAATAAAACTCAAAATTTGAAGGTAGTCGGGTGCTTGTCTAGAAGAAGAAGAAGAAGTAGAACTGGGTGACTCATGCTAAACCCTCCTGACCATAATGGAAAAGAGTGTGGACCAGTTTGAAACTCCACAATTACACACTCTCACAATGTACCTGCCTCTTGAATTGCATTTAAAAATCATATATGCTTGCCTTTTCGAAAGTGGTTTAAATTTCATATGGTTGTGTATCCTAATCTACTTTCCTTTTTTACTTCTTTGGTCGCACTTCAACGTGCGAAATGCAGGGAGGCTTTTAACTTCACTAATATGTGAATACTTGGATTGGGCACAACTGAATCACACAATAAAAGTTTATTTGCCAGAGTGCAATTTGGTAATCAATAAACAATTTATTTGTTGCATTTGATACTGCTGTTTTTGTCCAGCCATCCTTTGCTAAGTTCTTTAAGTCATCTTTTTCATAGGTTATGATGGATTTTATTTTTTTTTTACACTTAATGTAGCAAAAGGATTTTTGGAGATCTGAGTTGAAAGAATTTAGTAGCAAGAATGGATATGATCTTAACAGGAATGGAGACAGTGCTCCTTTGCTTTTGGATGTCCTTGAAGGCTTCTTGAAATATGAGGTACGTTTTTATATATTGCTGATATCATCCATTCTAAACTGATCTCATGTGTTGCATGGTACCATCATGGAATAATGTGATTATGTATTTCTATGTTTTATGATCAGTTATATTGCTAATTTATTCAGTGTAATTTGCTTTGTGCTTATGTACTAAAACAAATGTTGAATGGGATAAGAACAATTAATAAGGAATTCTTGCTAATTTTGATCAGTTGAAGTGTACCTTTCTATCAGGTGACACAGAACCGTTGGCAGATGGAGAAGAGAAAACAAAAAAGATTGAGAAAAGAACAATATTCCAATTCTGATTTCAAAATAAATTTCAATATCAAAGGTCCCTCTCAATTACAATAAGAATATTATTTATAGGTTTATCACATAGGGTTCTTGCACCCTCGCCTCACATAGATGTGAAAGTTTTCACACTGTTGTTCTAGTTAACATCAAGGTAGTTTGTTGAAGGTTTTAGAAACATCCTGATCCCAAATCAGTTCTATGATGAAAACTAGCTATGGGCAATGCCCAGGATTTGTTGTGGTAACAACCTGCTGGAGGATTAGTTGTTCTCCAACATGCCGTGATACCTCCTTATTAATGTGTGTGTGTGTGAGAGAGAGATGAATACTAGGTATGATGGTAATAACATTAACATTTGGCCTTTCTTTATATATTTGTTTTTGAATGATTCATGGCCAAAAGTAGATGTTAACACAGATGAATAGGAGTATAAGAAATGCTAGAATAAGGGCATTCATCATTTAATGGAGGCATCAATAAGAATAGCTTGCAATATCGTCCAGAAAATATGCATGTGAGTTGTTGCAATGCAAATGCATTCACAAGACGAGGAGGGGAAAAATTCCGTGGATGAAAGCAGTTAGAAAAGACAGAATGCCTATAATTTACCCTATCTGACCCCACATTTAGCTGAATGCTGAATGAAGACTAGTGCCATTGGCTGACAGTCTATTTGATGCAAGGATTTGTTTAATTTGCAAATAATTTTTGTCTAGTTTCGGATTTATGTGTATATATGTTCGTCTACATGAAAGTTAATTTTAATGTGTTACATTTTTTAATCTTCGAGATGATGTTCTGTATGTTCTTAGTGTGTAAGAATATGGGATATAACAATAATGCTTTACGATCGATTGATTTACATATTTTAACCTGGTCATGTTAAATTATGCTTTTCACCATGGAGCATGTGTGTTTTATGTCCACCAAGCAAATTGGTTTATGTTTTTTGTTTTCTTTAGTTGAATTTGACCATTAATTGCTTTGTTCCTTTATATTCTGGCAGAATTTATCTCAAGCAAGAGGTATTGGAAGGAGAGTGAGTGAATCCTGAAACTGAATCCTCTTCCAATTTAGAAACTCGGAATGTTAGGAGACCTTCCTCATCATCTATCGCCGGGGGCTTACCTCCACTAGGAAGGTGCTTAACCAAGAAACTAGTTAGCATTTTTTTCCTGTTGTTTTTTCTCCACTTTCTTTTCCATTTTTTATTAATAAGCTTTAATATTTTGGATTCTTCTTGCAGGCTGGTTCCATCTTCCCAGGCATCTGGTAAGTAGTAAAATTGATCTCCCCAATGTCTGCTTGCTTGCAATTCTTGTGATCTTATATGCTTTTATCTGTAGATCGGAGAGCAGGGTCCTCCATCTCAGGCTACAGGAAAGATGAATATAATTGGAGATATGATGGTGATGAGCTTCCAGATGATGTAATCCGTGCTTCCACGGCCTTGGAAAACCTTCAGTTGGACAGAAAAGCTCGAAATCTAACTACTTCTTGGCGGTTTGTTTCTCACCCCAAGATTGAAAATTCTTGTAGTTTTGATTTAGTTGCTGATAAAAGTGAAATCATGGAACTATCACATTTTGGATAACAGTTTATCTGGTCTGAATTCCAATTGGTCTTAAAAGTACTACCAGGAGGTTGTTTTGGCCCAGTTCATTGTTTCTTTCCTCCTTGAGCTACTTTGCCTATCCTCCTACATAGAATTAGTCAACCGCAAATCTGATGGTCCATTGGTTAAGCAATTTGGTATTTGTGTTGTGGATTTTATGCTTTTATATGATCAATGAGTGTGGATAATAGGTGTGAATTTAGGGAGTGTAGAGCATTTTTTCTTGGATATTGGGTTGGGTTAGGGGGTCGGTATTGTGGCTTTTTCTGATTAACTATACTGCTCAAGTGAGTTCTCTTTGTTCTTAGGAGAGCATAAGCCTAGCAGTTTTATGTGGAGAGAGAGCAAGTGAGCGAGCTTGAGATCGTTGACCTTATGTTTGTTCAATTCAACCAAACTTAGCTATGTCTTAAGCACACTCAATTTAACATTTAAGGCCTAAACCTGCTGGTGGGCTTTCATGTGACGTAGAACTAGTTGATGTAAAAGTTCAGCAATTGTCTGTTCACCATTTTTTCCTTTCTCGTCTCTCATGTGACATAGAATGAGAAAAACCACAAAATGATTCTCTACTGTCTAAAATTGATTTAGGGCTGAGGTTTGACTTGAGCAGCAGCATAATTGCTAATGAGTGGTTTCTTAAGTAATCAGGCATGGATCTTGGTGGATTAATTTGTAGTCTTAAACTTGCAACACTGGTATGGCAGCACAGCCTTTTTATTTGATAAAAGAAGAATTTTATTATAGAAGGAAATCAAGAACAAAATACAATGTTGAAGACAAGGTATCCTCTAAAAAAAAAGAAGCAAAATTCATGTCAAAGAGAAGTCTTAAGGAGGAAAAAAAAATGGGTAAAGAAGAACCACCTTCCAATTCTGTTAAAAGTCTGACAAAGGCAACCCTGTAAAACTTATGGTGGCTTTGATTCAAAGTGGAGCCATTCTTTTTGAAAATTCTTGCATTCCTCCCCATCAGAATACACAAAAGAAGTGCCCGAACACATTTCCACAGCACCTTCGCTTATTTTTTCTTTCCAAAAGTCCTAAAACTTATCTTCTACAACTTCTCATCAGTAGATGGACATAAATGCCTGTCTACTATATGCCCTAGTTCAAAATGACACTAGGTCGGGTAGAGCATTCATAAAGACAATAGAGAGACTACTTTTGCATATGCTACTCAAAATATAGTGTGGATTTGGTTTAACATTTTTATTTTGTTTTCAGTGTTTTCTGGGTTTGGGGTGGGGGAATTGGTAATAGGGTTTTTGAGAACGTAGCTGGAGGAATGCATTCCTTCTCGCGTTCCCCTTTTTGTGGTCTGGAGGAATGCATGGTAGGTAGTGGGGAGTTTATGAGATGCCCTGTTTTAATCTGAGTCGTTTAAACAGAGTGGTAATGGCGGAGAATTCTTTTAGCTTTCTCTTTCTAGTTTCAGTAGATGTCTCCTTCCTTTCTAACAAAGAGATCTCACCGCCAATTTGTTTATTGTCAAGCCACCAAATTTTTACCTCCTGTCATAATGACAACCCGAGTCACCTGATTGAGGCTTTTTTCTCATTGAGTAATGGGTAGTGGAGTTGGCTTGGTTTTTTTTGTTGGGGGGGCGGGCGGGCTGGGAGTTGTCTCACTCAAGTATGCTATTTTTTTTTTTTTGCTTTCCCCATTGATCTGGCTTCTATAATTCAACAATGAAGCAGTGACAAGCTTACACATGCACATAGCATGAAGTCCGTTTGCTGATCAAGCCAATGATATTTTTTTGTTTGTCTGTTGATGGTCATGTCTCACTATTTTCTCATATAACATTGACCAAGAATGCTAGAGTTCATGTTTGCTGTCAATGGTCGGCTACCTAGTTTTACTTTTATCTTACTGAGTTGTAATGTGAATTCCGGTTCATAGAATATAGAATACATTTTAATTATACTTAATGAATTTGGTTGCAGGCATGCAGGGGATGGAATCTCTGAGGACAATGGGAGGGTAGACCAGATGTAGCTGGATGAAATCCGGACACACTCCTTTTTCCATGTATTCTATTTGTCGTGCATCAATGTGTTATGTCATCAGTTGCCGGTAGTGATGTTATGTAAGATTTTCCTATACATTGTGTATTGGCGTTTTAGTGATTTGTATGAGCTTTCTTTTTCTTTCCCCTTTTCCATTTTCTTTCTGTTCTTCTCTCTTCAATGCTTTGATATGTTCCAATTAGGATCTTTTCTGTATTCAACAAGGACAAAACCCATTTTTTTCTTAATGATAGCTAGAATTCAAATGCTTCTTGTTATAATGATTTTTAGTTAGAGATGGAAAATGTGATTTGTGTGCTTGGTTATTCAATGCTGGTTATAATGATTTTTAGTTAGAATTCAAATGTTTCTTTTACTCGGAGTTTGGGAAACAAAATTTCCTGACCACGTAGTTAGGTAGGAGACGAACTTCTCATGTATGCAAATTATGCTGATTTGACCTTCTCTTGTACCTTAAACCTTAAATCTCTTCTTGGGTTTATTTTCTTGAGTTCCAACTATGTTATTTGGATATGCCTATGTTTAGTGTACCAGGTTTGAAGTCTAATATTTTCATTCGTAATTCACACACCTAGTTATATGCTCTCTCTGGGTAGTCACCAAGGATAGTTTTTTCTTTTATTTCTTGGGAGCATCCAGTATTATGTGGTCACATGCTTGATGTGGTTTTGCTCATGAAATGTATACATAGCAGCCATTTCTCTGAAGTACTAACAGTTGAAGCACTACTTTCTCAAGTTCACAAGGGTATATCTATCTAATATTATGAAGTTAAATTCTTAATTTACACAAGCGTACAACAATGATTAAGATTGATTTAATTTTTATTTACTTTGTTCTAATGATAAAAAAATTCATGCCCAAATTTATTTTTTTGCTAAAAAAACGTTTACTTTTTTCCATGACTTTTGATGTTTGACAATTTAATCGGTGTACTCCCAAATATTTAACAATTTCATCAATTTACACATCTCTCTCTTCGATTTAATTTTAAGTTGCGTAATTTAGAAAATTAAATTATTATTTAAAATATAAATATTATAAGATTAGTTTGATTTTTGATATTGTACAATATTTTCAAACACGGAGTAATTGCTAGTATTTATATACGGGGTGATGATATATATAATGGTAACTTCTATGGCGGTAATGATTTGGTTGTAGTGGAATCGGGGTTGACACTACATGCATGCATCTGCATCTGCTTATTTAGGCTCTTATTTACTTACTTCAATTTTTAAGATTCAAAAGTAATTGAATACGTTGATGTAGAAAGCGAATTGGAGGTTCCTCCAATTATTTGGGCAACTTAACCAATAGTTACAATTTACGAAACTCTCTCTCTCTCTCTCTCCCTTTATATATATTTGAGCTTATTAAAATTTGAGTTAATTAAATTTAATTTTTTTGTATTAAAATTTAAGCCTATTAATTTTTTTTTACGTATTAAAATTTGATTGGATTTAAATTCAACTTGAGCTATTAGTATTGATTAAAATTCGATTCGAGTTGATTAAAATTTATATTTTTTTAATTGAGTTAATTAAAATTTA